TTCTTATTCATTGTCCAACTTTCACATGCCTCTGAGGCTATTGGGAATGCCATGACTTGTGTCAGGTACCTTTTCCTCAAATTGAAATTTTTGCTCTTGAACACTTTAAAAAGGTCTTGTGTAGCAGATTTGCCTAATGCAGTATGTCGTTTGATTTCTTTTCTTTCTTTTTTTTTCTCTTGTGCATGACAATACTTTTATTTTGGTGTAAAGACGGGAAGCTGGAAAATACACTGTATTTAAAATTTGCTTGGTTCCCCTGTCATTTGATTTCTTGACTGCTGCTTCCATGAATGTTGATTGTGGATCCAAACAAGATAAAGTCTTTGAGAATTCAATCTTTTTTCATTTATCATGATGTTATTTATTGGTCCAGTTGTGAGATTTTTATTTTCTTTGCATTGATTTGTAGTCTATACTGAAGGCAGTAGATCTTTATCACAAAGTATTTTATACTCTTCACTTTCAATAAGCAAGGTTGTATTATCCGCATATCACAGATTGTTAATGTATTTTCCTCCAATCCTGATGCCATACTCTTCTTCATACAATCCAGCTTCTCAAACTATTTGCTCAGATACAGAGTGAGTAAGTATGGTGAAAGAATGCAGGCCTGACGCATACCTTTCCTGATTTTAAACGATTTGGTTTAAAGTCATTCTGTTCTAATGACTGCCTCTTGGTTCACGTACAGGTTCCTCATGAGCACCATCGAGTGGTCTGGAACACCTATCTTTGCAATGTTATCCATAGCTTGTCATGATTCACACAGTGGAAAGCTTTTGCATAGTCAATAAAGTACAGATAGACATCTTTCTGGTATTCTCTGCTTTCAGCCAAGATCCATCTGACATCAGTCAATCCTTAGTTCCATGTCCTTTATGAATCCAGCTTGAGTTTCTGGCAGTTTTCTGTTGAATTCCTTATTGAGATAAGTATATGTTGTTGTTAAATGCTGTTGAGTCAGTTCCGACTCATAGCGACCCTGTATAGGATTTCTGAGGAGTGGCTAGTGAGCTTGAACTGCTGACGTTGAAGTTCAAACCAACCTTGCAATCCAGTGCACTAACCCACAGCATATGCATACCATAAAATTCACACTTTAGAATGTACTATTCATTGGGTTTTATTACATTAACAAGTCAGTGCAACTATCACCACTATCTAATTTGAGAACATTTTCTTCACCCCAAAAAGAATCACTATACTCATTGCTTTCTAGAGAATGCAATCACTTCTCATTCCTCCTCCCACTCTCTCCGATCCCTAATGGCCTCTAAACTACTTTCTGTTTCTGGATTTGCCTATTCTGGACATCTCATGTAAATGGAATTAGGTAATTATTTGGCCTTTCGCATCTGACTACTTTTATTTGGCATATTTTTATCCATTTTTATCATTTATCAGTACATCATTCCTTTGTATAACTGAATAATATTATTCTTCCATATGGATGTACATTGCATTTTGTATCTCCATTTATTAGTTGATGGGCATTTGAGGTGTTTCTACTTTTTGGCTATTATGAAGGAAGAAGTTTGTTGCTGTTTTTTAAATACTTGTGTATATTTTCAATGCACCTTTGTAGAGCAAACTCATCTCTCATGCAACAATTTTTATATAAATTGTTCATTGACATTGGTTACATTCTTCAAGCGTCAACATTCTTATTATTTCCATTCTGGTGGTTTCATTTCCAGTAACCTAGTTTCCCTGTCTACATACCTTCTCATCTTTACTTTAGAGTAATTGTGGACCATTTGGTCTCATATAGATGATTTTTAAAAGGAGCACAGTATTCAAGAGTGTTGTTCTTTATTTCATGAGTCAGTTATAGTTCAAGGTTTTTTAGGGTCTTTCAGGCTAGGGGATTTCTCTAGTCTCATCCAGTCCAGTAAGTTTGGTTTTCTAAAAGAATTTAAGTTTCTGTTCCACATTTTCCTCCCATCTATCAGTATCCACCTATTGTGGTCCTGATGAGAACAAAGGGGGAGGGTTTTGATGGCAGGACAGGTGACATGAGACCTGGCCATTCTGGGATGTGTTGTTATATGCCATTAAGTTGGTTTCTACTCATAGCAAGCCTATATAGGGTTTCCAAGGAGCCGGTGGTGGGTTTGAACTGCTGACCTGTAGTTCGCAGTCTAGTGCTGAACCTACTGCAACTCACCAGGAGTCCTGTGGGGTATGGAAAGATAAAAGTACTACAAAATTGTGCTGAATCTGGACACAGTAATTTGTAGTGATGCCAATCTACACAGGTGTGTCCTTTTCTTTAGTAGGCATAGAGGAATGTAGAAGATGAGTAGGTGATCTCAGCTGTATTGTATAGATAAAAACCCAAGACCGATAACATTTTAGTGGCTGTATAAATATAGAAGAATCAGTGAGAGTGCTGACAGAAGATTGGTTGAAGTGATGTCCTATGGGGGCCAGGCTTCATAAGATGGTTGATGAATCCAGTAGGGATCATGGAGTACGGCAAAAAAGCAGTGTTTTCATAATCCTGTTTTTTTAAGCATCTTTTAGAAATATCATTTCATGCCTCTTCCCAGCCCAAAGCTTTTTCACTAAAGCCTCTCTATTCTGTACTTCGACCCTTAATTGTGAATTCCTCCATAATTTGTCCTTCAACTACCTTTTCCAAGTCTCTTGAATCAGACTGGTATATTAATTGTTGCTTTCTACTCTTATTCTTTTGGTGTTTCTTTTATTCTTGATATGTTTCTCCCTGACTTGAGATTTCCTTCTCCTTCTTTTCTGTCTAGCCAGAACCTATCTTTATTTCAAATTCCAGCTCTCTAGAAAGTTCTTCTACTTAATGAATCCATGATGATTTCTACTTCCCTCTTGTCCCAGCACTTTAGTTTAGTGCAACTGTTGTTTATTGAATAATGGCAAGAGCCATAATTCATTAAGGAATTAAAATAGATAAATTGAGACATATTAATTGAGGAATTAAAATACATAAATGAGACACGGGGAAACCTGCACATAGAAGAATTCATTGTTTTAGCAGAGCTATGATGAATTATTTTCTTTGGATGGCAGAGCCACAAAGTTATTTCTATGCACAGATCCCTAGTTAAATTTTTCTCTTGTTGAATCATTCTCTGATTTATTCATGATTTTATTAGTATCCATTTTACTTTGGATTTTTGACTCTCCTACACTTTAGTATATTTTTATTAAAAGTTAGAAGCCATATATTAGCTACATCTTATTCTGCTTGTAATCATAGGTAGTTTTAATACTTATATTAACAATGTTCTTAAGACTGCTAGGAGATAGGATTTGTCAATTGAATTACTACCAGTTTAGGCTTAGTGATTGTAGACATTCTTCCTTAAAAGCAACTAGGCCATAAATAAGGGCTGTGAGTACAAGAATTCCTAAAAACAATTAGACTATAGATAAGGGCTATGAGAATCTACAGTTATATAAATCAAAAGTTCTGACTTAGACATTCTTAAATTAATGATCAGTAAAATAGAGGAGTTGTTTTTCATAGTCTGTTTCCCTGATAAGTGATGTTTTTGTAGGCTATAAACAGATAGTGTATGGAAGAAGTTAATGGAGAGTTAATTGCACCTAACAACTAAAATTAACAAGACTTAATAGACAAAGGTTAAGAAACATATGTGAAGGTTAACTTGCTTCTCAGAGAAAAGAAT